AATGTATTAGACACATATGCATATCCTATAGTAACTGAACAGCTTCAGACACATAATGAGAGTCTAAAAAATGAGATCTAGCACTAGACTAGTATCATACACATTACTTTCCATTTAGGATTTCCCTTTCTTGTGTATGAATTGACTACTAGGTGAATTTCACTGGTATGTTCTCCTAACCCCATTTCTCTGAATAATCTAGTCTTGACAAAGAGATACAATTTTTAAATCGTCCTATATGAGCTGACCCTTTGGCTACATCTCTGATCTTATCTCATATAACTTCCCCCTTACTCACTGCTCGAGCAACACTGGCCTCCTTGCTGTTCTGTGAACATGACAGGAATGCTCTTGCCTTAAGGCCTCTGCATGCATGGTTCCCTTTGTTTGAACCACTGCTATTCCCCATATCTTGCTCCTGTATCTCTCACAGGTCTTTATCAGATGCAATTCTCAGTGAGGCCTTCCCTGACCAACCTGTATAATACTAACTCCTCCTTCATAGAAGTCTTTACCCAACATTATTTTTCTCCATAGCACTCGTCATATGATACACTATACTTTACTTGATTATGTCTCTCCAGGACACTAGAAGGGAGGCTCCTTCTTTATATGGTCCATTGCGCAAGTAGTTAGAACAGTGCTTTAGCACTGTTAAGTATTTGTTGAAAAAATGATCACATATATAGTCAAGCATTTGGAAAGTCAGAGTGGTCAGTGACTGATAGGAACTGACAATCCAGAAATGCTCAGGTGCATCTATTTAATTCTGGCTGTAAGAATTCCTAGTCTATTTTAAGCTAACCTACATTATTTAAGCTTCTAATATTCCTTATTTAAAAGAAAAATTAGTAGATGCTGAACTAAAATGAAAGCATCCAAAATATTTGATTCAGATAGTTGTTTAGGGTAAACCCTAGCTGATCACTACCCAAATTGTGGTGATTTACAAAAATTCCAGATTTGGTGTGTTATCAAAGAGAAACTCCACCTGCCACTCTATTAACTTATCCACCATAATAGACTTCACTTCATG